CTGCTGCTGCTGCTGCTGCTGCTGCTGCTGGTGGTGGTGGTGGTTAGAGGGGGGTCAGCAGTGATGAAGAAACGATCAAACCTACACCTTGGTTTGTATTTTCTTTTTACTTCTGCGTGGTTGTCGTTGCGCAGCATATCCCAGGTGTATAGGCAGCTCGGGTCTCTCCCTAAAAACTCCCACGCATCGATGGTGCCCTCAGGCACGATGCTGCTCCTGCTGCTGCTGCTGCTGCTGCTGCTGCTGTCGGCTTCGCTGTAGGTCCGCTTGAAACGGCCACCCTCCTGCTGCTGCTGCTGCTGCTGCTGCTGCGGCAGCAGCAACTCGTCGTCTCTTAAGTTAAGGTCACCAGCAAGAATGGCTGTTCTTACCTTATGCGGCTTCCCCAGAGGAAATGCATCCGCAAACACCTGCTGCTGCTGCTGCTGCTGCTGCTGCTGCTGCTGCAGCTGCTGCAGCGGGTCTGCTTGCGTGACAGCAGCCATGAGGTCGAAGCACTGCAGCAGCTGCTGCTGCCGCTGCTGCGCATAAGGCCGCATGGATTCTAGGTGAGAGGTCAGCAGCAGCAGCGGCTCCGAAGGCCTTCTGCTGCTGCTGCAGCAGCCATACAGCAGATGTCTCCCCATGCTGCTGCTGGAGAACCACAGCGTCTGCAGCTGCTGCCGCGAGGGGGGCAGCATCTGCTGCTTGCACAGCAGCACAGCGCAGTAGTATGGACACCCAGGTACTATAGGTTCTGCTGCTGCTGCTGCTGCTGCTGCTCCTGCTGCTGTTTGTCCCGCTGCAGCGGCTGCGGACGTCCTGCTGCTGCTGCTGCTGCTGCTGCTGCTGGTGTTTGCTGCTGCTGCAGCGTACGGGGGCGGGCTAGGGAAGAAGAAGTTGTATTTGTGCTGCAGCCGCTGCTGCAGCAGCCTGGCGCTGCTGTCTACTACCTCCTGCAGCAAGACAACAGCAGGCTGCAGCAGCAGCAACTCGGAGCACACCGCCAGCGTACGCAGCCGCAGCATACGCTCGTCCAGGCCGTCCAGGTTCCTGAGCAGCAGCAGCAGCAGCAGATGCAGCAGCGGCAGCAGATGCAGCAGCAGCAGCAGATGCAGATGCAGCAGCAGCAGCAGATGCAGCAGCAGCAGCAGATGCAGCAGCAGCAGCAGATGCAGCAGCAGCAGCAGATGCAGCAGCAGCATAAGTTTTAGCAATAGCAGCAGCACCAACGGCAGCAGCAGCTACGGCATGCAAGCAGCAATGAGCAGCACAAAGAGAAAAGAAGACACCTGCTGCGGGTCAGAAGCAGCAGCAGCAGCAATTGCAGCAGCAGCAGCAGCAGCAAATACAGCAGCAGCACCAGTACAGCAGCAACAGCAGTACAGCAGCAGCCGCCATACAGCAGCAGGACAGCAGCAGCAGCAGTACAGCAGCAGCAACAGCAGCAGCAGCAGCAGCAGCACAGCAGCAGCAGCAGCAACTGACCAGGTTAAGATATCGAGTTCATCTCTATATACCGGCAGCGCAGTCTCGGGGTCTTCAGAGGTGTCCATGCTGCTCGTGCTGCTGCTGCTGCTGCTGCTGCTGCTGCTGCTGGCGATAGCCGCAGCTGTGCCTCTCCCGCTGCTCTCCTCATCGCCTGCACGGTGTTGGTGCTTGCTGCTGCTGCTCTTGCTGCTGCTGCTCTTGCTGCTGCTGCTCTTGCTGCTGCTGCTGCTACTACTACTACTACTAGTACTGCTGCTGCTGCTGCTGCTGCTGCTGCTGCTATCTGCATGAGTCCTCTTTGAGCTGTGTCTGCTTTTGCTTGATTTGCTGCTGCTGCTCGGCAGCTGCTCTCGGTTGTCCTTGCTGCTGCTGCTGCTGCTGCTGCTGCGGTATGGAGGACTACTACTACTACTACTACTACAGCTGCTGCTGCTGCTGCTGCTGCTGCTGCGGTCTGGAGGACTTCTGCTGCTGCTGCTGCTGCTGCTGCTGCTTCGGTCTCGTTTCTTAGTTTGCTGTTTTGTTACTACGGCCTCAACAGCCAACTCGTCGCTGTCGCTGCTGCTGACGTAGATGAGGCCATCGTTCTCCTGCTGCTGCTGCTGCTGCCGATGCTGCTGCTGCTGCTGCTGCTGCGGTTTAGCACTGCGTGCCGGCGTTAGCCGGCGCGGGGTTTCCGGCTGCTGGGCTCTGTGGCGCTCTACGTGCTGCTGCTGCTGCTGCTGCTGCTGCTGCTGCTGCTGCTTCTCTATACCCTCTTGCATAGACGCGGGTTGGTGCAGCAGCAGCTGCTGCAGTTGTTGCTGCAGTTGGTGGTGCTGCTGCTGGTGCTGTTGCTGCTGCTGCTGGCGGTGCAGCTGATACTTCTGGGCGCGGATACGCCGTAGCTCTGCCACCTCCCTCTCCAGAGCTGCTGCACGCTGCTGCTGCTGCTGCTGCTGCTCCTGCTGCTGCTGCTGCTGCTGCTGCTGCTGCAGCTGCTGCTGCTGCGTCGATGTGGGGGGTTGTATTTCCATGGGTGTTTGTGCTGCTGCTGCTGCCCGGGGCGGACGCGGTGAAGCCACTGCAGAGACTAGGGGAGCTGAGATGCCAGCTGCAAGAGCAGCAGCAGCAGCAGCAGCAGCAGGAGAGGCAGCAGGAGCTGCAGCAGCTGCAGCAGCAGATCTGCTGCGGCTGCAGGAGAAACCAACGACGGGCACCGGCAGCAGCAGCAGCAGCAGCAGCAGCAGAGAGAAACCGGTTAGAAGGGAGCAGAGGAGATGCTGCAGCTGCAGGCGCATCAGATGAGGTGTGCATACACCCCAGAAGCAGCAGCAGAAGAGATGTTCTGCTGCCGCTGCAACAGCAGCAGCAGCAGCAGCAGCAGCGGCAGCAGCAACCGCAGCAGCAAACCCTCAGGGAGCTGAGAAGAAACCGCAGACAGCAGAGAAGGCTCAACGCAACTCCCTCCGCTTCAACCCTAGTTTCATTCCTAACCCTAAACCCTAAACCCTAAACCCTAAACCCTAAACCCTGGCCTTTGAGGGGCCGCCGTTGACGCGGTGCATGCATTGTCTTCGCTGAGGGTTTAGGGTTTTTTTGTTATAAAATATATTAATAAAATGTTATATAATAAAGAAAACAATTGCTGCTGCTGCTGCTGCTTCTTGCTGAGGTGTACATACACCTCAGCTAGTACTTTTGCTGCTGCTGCTGCTGCTGCTGCTGCTGCTGCTGCTGGCTGCTGCTGCTTCCTTTTATAGGGTCTGTTGGTGTTGTGTATTTATTAGTGTGTGTATACGAGAATGAATATCGTTTTTCTTTTTATTTTATTTTATATTTATTTATTTTATTTATTATTTTCTCAATTTATAAACACATAAACAACACATCTCCCTATACAATACACAGCCCCTGCAGCGAGCAGCAGCAGCGCCTAGCAGCAGCAGCTGCTGCAGCCAAGCAGCAGCTCGTGAGCGTTTTGTTTTTGTGTTTAATAAATAAATAAATTTTTATAAATAAATAAATTAATTAATTTATATATATTTTCATCAATTATATAGCAAAAATATACACCATAAACACCAGAAACATGCAGCAGGACTGCTCGCATGCATACACCACCGCACTGGCTAGTTGAGGTGTACATACACCTCAGCATACACAGCAGCAGCAGCAGCAGCAGCAGCAGCAGCAGCAGCAGCAGCAGCAGCAGCAGCAGCAGCAGCTGGGGACGCATGCAGAGACCCTAAGAAGGCAAATGTGTATATAGTTAGTATTATATTAAGGGGCCCCCTGATAGTGTTTATTTGTTGCTGCTTTGGTTTTCTTCTTTCTTTTTATATTTTAATTAATTTATAAATATAAAACATAAAACATATGTTATTTATTTAATTAATATTATATAAATAAATAAATAAATAAATAAACAAATGAAGACAAGCTCCTAGCTTTGTTATATAAAAAGCAAACATGAGCGAGGGGACTGTATGTACACCTGCTGATGACGCCAGCAGCACAACTGCTGCTGCTGCTGCTGCTGCAGCAGCAGCAGCAGCATCCGAAGCAGCAGCAGCAGTGCCTCCAACAGCAGCAGCAACTCCCGCAGCAGCAGCAGCNCAGCAGCATCCGAAGCAGCAGCAGCAGTGCCTCCAACAGCAGCAGCAACTCCCGCAGCAGCAGCAGCAGCAGGAGCACCAGGAGAAGAGCGCACTCAAGGCAAGAAGGTAGCGTCTGCTGCTTGCTGCTGCGCTGCTAGCAGCAGCAGCAGCAGCAGCAGGAGCAGCAGCAGCAGCAGCATAGAGCTGCGAGACGAAGAAGAGCTGTGTCTGAGCAGCAAGAGTTGCTGCTGCTTGTCTTTGTCTGCTGCTCGGTTTCGTTTGCTGCGGTATATATGGCTCAACAACAACTGTCTCCGTTCTCTGTCTCCTTTGTCTTGCTGCTGCTACCTAAAAGAAATATACGCAGACAATAATAAACTTCTTTCTGTTCCTCTCCTCAGCAGCAGCAGCAACACGCTGCAAGTACTCTCACTAGCAGGCAATGTGCTGCAGCAGCTGCAGCAGCAGCTGCACCCTCTCTCTATTCTACGCGCACTCAAAAACCTAAACCTTAAAGACAATCCTGTTGCTGCTGAAACACTATACAGGTATATGCTGCTGCTCCTGCTGCTGCTGCTGCTGCTGTTGCTGCTCTTGCTGCTGCTGCTGAGTTGCAGCAGCAGCAACAGCAGCAACAGCAGCAAGATAAAATGCTGGACCTCTAGCATACAGATACAATATAAACTCTCAACTCTAACCAAGCTATATTTCCCTCTCCCCCGCTGCTGTGCTGCTGCTGCTGCTGCTGC